TGGTAAATGGAGAGACAATAATAAGGTGATTAATTATAGTCTGTTGCAGAATATGCGGTATAAGTGTAGTCATGGATACATATACACATTACACATATACAGATGAAATACACGATATGATGCAGTGCAAGAACAAATTAAGATACGGTTTCTATTAAAAATATTTATACGATTTTGGATTTAATTAGCATGTTTAAATTTTCAGGCCAACACGGCTGAGATACAGCATCGGCATACTCAACTGGAGTTGTTTTCTGCCGGTCGTAAGTTCATTGTTTGACTGAGCACACTCGTGTCGGGGTTGCGATATTTTCTTCTCTTTGTTGGCAGCCTGCCACCGGTCTGAATTTTGAGAAAGGTCTCAGCATGGGACTGTTAATTACTTCTTAATGATGTCTACAAGCTTACAAACTTGTAGATGTTGGGTGCGGTTAGGACCAAACTTTTTCAGCTCAGAGTGTTAGTGGTCCTGGAACCCATAGTGTCAAACAGGTTCTGCACAAAACGTCCATCAGATTCTACTGTTCAGCAACATTGTCACTGAATTTCAGAACTCTGGCATGATATAATAATCAAGGATTTCGAAGGTGAACGAGGGGAAAGGCAGACGCACGTGGATTTACCCTCAGGTTATTATTGTCTGGAGTTCACATTTTGGGGCATTTCATATACTAATTGAACAGAGTTCACCTGCACATGTCCACTTTAGTGATACAGACTGTAACCAAAAATGCAATGAGCCGTAGCTCTTAATCCCTTATAACAACGGTAACAACAACCAGGGTGAGGACACAGTAAGGTTAAACCGTGTCCAACAGACAATCTGAGGTGGCTATCTCCCATCAAGTCAGCTCTGTTTTTAAGCGCATAGTTATGTTTTTACATATTGAAATAAAAGGAATTTAAAAAATTATATTTAACAAACCTACACATTACCAAATATAAAACTTTATAACCCTTTCTAGACTTCGTTCCAATTAACCTTGATCATTCAACTCGCTCGCGAAGGTCGTATGCGACTTTAAAGTGAATACGTCTACAGTGTACAAGTAAATTTTAACTGTATCATATATACTCATGATAAGCAATTATTTTCGTTCCTAATTCGAATGAGCACATTCTGAGGCTAAATCTGCAAAAGGACAGATAAAATATTTCTTTGTACAATGCAAACGATACAAACGTAGCGGCTGATAATAGAGACAATGATTTAATAATCTGCAATATATCAAGTGTTCTCGTTCAATCTATTGTACATATTGAAGTGATTGTAAAGTTTCAAGGAGTACTAAAATGTTGTGGTATTATGAATGTATTTAGAATATGAATAGCGAAAAACAGTCACCATATCGGATGTACATGTATAATTTGTCTTCCAACACTACGCTTGTGCCGAGGCCCATGGTAATAAAAATAATCGGTCCCATAAAAGGAGCAAATAGTTTCGCAGATACTTCTTGCTATGGTTCACTCCCAATTGTCAGACGACCTAATCATCAGTCAGACCAGTCAAGTGTGACCAGCGTACCTGCCTGGATTTGGCTCCTAATTACTGAACTGCCCAATACTGTCATACTGTGGGCAGAGTAAGCGGCCTCGTTGAGTGATACAGACTAACCAGATTATGATTGTGTTTGTAAGTTGCGTTTAATCTGTGTCGGGTTGCAGTTGTTTTATAAGTCAAGACTAGGGGTAGTCAATGAAACCTTTTTGAGTTTGTTTTGCATTCATTTCATTAAATACATTGTTAAGTAGAATAATAACACGTTATATGGATTAAACATCTCCCTAATCTGAGTATAATCTCACATGTACTCTAAGTACCGTACTATATTACTTTGCGGAGACACTGAGTATAATTTTTTAGTTGGCATTGTATGCTGTCTGAATGACTTTACACAAATCCCTGCATTCAATAGACCCGTGAAGATCTTCAACAAACCATTCTTGGCGTAAAAGGGCGACAGCGCTTGTCGTAAGAAGCGACTACCGGGATCGGGTGGTCAGGCTCGCTGACTTGGTTGATGCATGTCATCGTATCCCAATTGCGTGGATCGATGCACATGATGTCAATCACTGGATTGTCTGGTCCAGACTCGATTATTTACAGACCGCCGTCATACAGCTGAAATATTGCTAAGTGTGGCGTTATACAACTAACAAACAAACAAAACACAAAAAGAGAAAATGTATGAGTACTAAAACTTGCAATAGATATGCGTACCCTACGTACACACATGAGTCCCATTCGACAGTCTACAACACACGAATAACTGTCAAACAAGTTTGGGTACCCCTTCTGTTCAGGCAAGTTATTTAGTTCGATTAATTTTGTATTAAAATCATTTTCAATTTGTTTTCATCCTTTTTCCCTATTCCATGCATGTTTATGTTGCTACATCTTATTGCTCATGTTTCCAAGTATTGTAAAACACTTTAATGTTTCTCCTTCTTAATCTAACGTTATAACATTTCAGGTCATTGCCATCATCTAATACACAAGAGATGATACCAAGACATATTTTATTCGGTTTTATGGTCTATGCGGTCTTACAATTGATTTTATTAGTCATTAAATCTTATGTCTAGTAAATATTTTCACAAACAGGGCTGTTAACTGATATAAGGAATGTAACATCCAGTTAAGGACTGAATACGACGTACGTTAGTCTGGTAACGACATTTCTACAATTAATATTTTGAATAAACCGTTAATACGCCAGTTGTGACAGGGATGATGGTATGGTAGATGTAGCAGACATATTGACAGCCGTTGTTACGCAAGTCACTAGGTTATTAGTACGGCATTGGCCTTGTTGATTGGTACTATACTTTCTGTGGCCACTGGCGGACGTAATTCAAACTCCTTCCACACTGACATTGCACCAAATATATTTGTGTACCGATTACATAGCTCTTACTGACAGGGTAGGGTGGTAGTTCACGCCAAACGGACGACACTGTGTATATTGAGCGGCTCCTTTGATATCGCCTCACAACATACTTTTAATGAATGACCAATTAAACGATGATAGACATCAGGATCGCGGAGAAAATACAAGCTTCGTTCGCGTTGAATATATATATCAAGGCACAAATTCATCTTTCATAAATTTGTTGTGTCTTGGTGCTTAATATATCCACATATCAACGAAAATATGTAATACATGTATCCACAAAAATATACATGTACAGGCTAGGTATTTGCCCACAGCAACACCTGCATAACTGTTTATTCACGCGTGGTGTGGCAGATTGTAATTGACCGACAACAAGTATTGTAGAATCACCTGTAAATAAGGCCGACACTGTAATTAGACACAACGTACTAATGCGAATATGAGAATTATCATAAGAAGGCTGTTACGTTTTTCTTAACTATTACCATTTTCATACCAAAAGTGACAATGCAGTTAAAAGTTGCTTTAGTGTCACAATATTCACTCACGTTTTCCTCAATCGCATTGAAACATAATTCCTACTGGTCAGTTCGACACTTGTAATTATATAATTATTTCGAGATTTCGTTAGAATGTAAGATATTCAGCCAAACGTTATGCAATAAAAGACGAATAGTTTTTTTCATTAAAATAGGCGCACGCGTACCTGTATATTGCATACCTAGTGTCACGTAATTGCCCAGTGTGATGTATCAACGGGACATAAAATGGGAAATGAAATAGAAACTAACTAAAATTTAATGTTGTGGAAAATAACTCCAATGAATTTGAGTACACACACATGAATTCGTATGATAAACTGTCAAAACGTTTTGAGAGGTAAGGCCGGGTTCATTAAAGATCGCTACAATATGTAAAACAGGTGAAATTTGTAGAACTAAAGGAAACATCCAACCAAAAGCCCTTTTTAAATAGTAATGTAATTATATAATATAAAGTATATTTCACATGAAACAATATACTTTGCAAACAGTTAGTTGATGCTTGAAAGGGACTGACGAAAACATGGGCGAAATATTTTAATAACGCCGTAAAATAGTTGAATTAAGTAAAAATTAGTTAAATTTTGTGTCATGATACTTGAATAAATACATTTAATGTATTTGCGAAAGAAAAACATGAGTTTTGAGTAAAGAAACATGTTCTCGCCCATGGGCCAAACCTTTTTCTCGCCCATGGGCGAAATATTTCAATATCGCTATAAAATCGTTGAATTAAGTTAAAATGAGTTAAATTTTGTGTCATGATACTTCAATAAATACATTTAATGTATTTGCGAAACAAAATCATGACTTTTAAGTAAAGGAACATATTCTCGCCCATGGGCCAAACCTTTTTCTCGCCCATGGGCGAAATATTTCAATATCGCTATAAAATCGTTGAATTAAGTTAAAATGAGTTAAATTTTGTGTCATGATACTTGAATGAATACATTAAATGTATTTGCGAAACAAAAACATGAGTTTTAAGTAGAGGAAAATATTCTCGCCCATGGGCCTGCCCATGGGCCAGACTTCGCCCATGGGCAGGCCCATGGGCCACACTTCGCCCATGGGCAGGCCCATGGGCGACATAGTCTAAATATTGAGTTTTTAAACATTTTTTTTTCATTTTTTCTTCCTTGGTATGTTCCCATGAAAACGGCATGTTTAATTTTGTAAATACCTTTAACCGAGACTGGGCAAAGAGCGTAGAGTTTCTGGACTTTTGGGTTTCCAGAATTAAAATGGGACGTGTTCCTGGTAAGAAAGAGGTGACGCGTGAAGACTGCTGAGAGACGACTATGCTTGTCGTCAAAGCGACTGACGGGATCGGGTGGACAGGTTCGCTGACTTTGTAAAGGACATGTCAAACGAATCTTCCCCGAGATCGTTTCCTCGAAACGTACCAAGCATGACACCTGTCATGACCGACTGGAATAGTATTTTGTATCAATACAATAAAAATAACATCATATCGTTAAACGACTATCCACTCAAAGCAGGTTGCATCAGCAAATGTGTGGCAATGTTGAATTAAAAACAACACGTAAACACTTACTTGATATGTTTTGACCGCCGCATTCAGGACAGCCCAGTGATGTATGTTTGAAACGTATCTACATATGTCCGCACAGTGCTGCTTAACACTCTACCTGCGCCTGCTGCGAACCTCTCTTTATATAGACGTCGTGTCGTGAGACCTGTTCACACCTGTCGTCCCGTTGTGGTGAACATGAAGGTGTGTGTGGAAGGATGGGGCGGGGGGAAGACGGGTGACGCTTGACGCTTTACTCAGTCATAATGGATAAACGCATCGACCTTCGTGTGAACCCAATCATTTATAAGTAGGTTACCCACAAGGCATGTGTGAATGTACCCGTAATTACACGATGGTCGTCTGAATGAAGGTAACGTTAAGTACATGAACTTAACATTCTGAATAATCATTCAAGGGTGGCAAATCTCCTTGGTCTAAACCATCTCCTGCACAGGTCTCGACATTGTAGTGATATGTGTAAAACTGAGTGCGTGAGTTGGGTTTAACGCCTCTTTGTACAACATTTCAGTTATATCAGGGCGTGCCAGCTTGATGTGGGAAAAGAAACACACTGATGCAGGTTGGTTGGTTTGTTGTTTAACGCCGCACTCAACAATTTTCCAGCTATATGACGGTGGTCTGTAAATAATTCAGTGATTGATATCATGAGCATCAATCCGCGCAATTGGGATACGATGACATGCATCAATCAAGTCAGCGAGCCTGACCACCCGATCCCGTTAGTCGCTTCTTACGACAAGCATAGTCACCATTTACGGCAAGCATGGGTTGCTGAAGACCTATACTACCCTGGATCTACACGGGTCACTGATGCGGGTATTCGCAGGGGTACGGGTATTTTGCTGAATCATACAGGGCGAATTTGGGATCCGAACTCTCGCTTATAGGATTCTGTCACGCCTCAGGGACTCCACCCTGTACAGCAGCCCACGGTGCCTTGGACTCTTGGGACACCTTTCAAGAACAAAGTAAATGTTTTAGTATGTGAGTGAATGTATTGACTTTAACATCGCTTTCAAAGTATTCAAATGTATTAGTCAGATCAATTTGGTTTTAAGCGATGCAGATGTTCTTATGTTTACCACTTTGGTGTGACAAAAGTTCAATGATGTGCTTCAGACACGCCAAGGTCCATAATCGGGGGGCGACCTGCTAGCTGTTTGTAGGTCGCATCTCTGAATTGTAACTTAGTAACCAAAGGGAACTCTGATCCCATACCACGCCCTTGTCCCGTCGTGATAGAGTTGGGATGTTGCAGCCTGCAGGATTAAACTATCAGGGAGGTCTTCCCTTTGAACAAACAGGGAACTCAGTATATGACATGTGTGAGTTTGTGCTACAACAAATGGTTTTGCAGTATTAACCTGAAATAAAAAGTGACTATGTTTTCTGGAAATAGTTGTGCCCGTCCAACATGGGACGTGTGTCCCAGATACTGGTACAAAGTTCTCCTTCTTCTCGGCAGCCATAGGTACAATAGACAATAACCACAAGGTCAAACAGCATGGTTGAGAAGGTTCATATGTCAATAAACTCAACTAAAACGTGGTCCTCACTTTGATTCGCATCAATGAATGTCAAAACAACTAAGGTTAAAGTCAGCGTTGGCTGACACAGCACACTGGACATAAAAAGTGATTGCTTTCTATGCAAAAAGAGAATATGAGAACAAGGGAAAGTGTCTTTGAGTTACTTGCATAGGATGTTATTACCCGTTCTGTATTTATGCATCGTAGTTATAAACCACTGGTGAAGATGACACTTTTTGTAGCTGGAGTATTGGATAAAAAGCCACATTTTAATTCAACATAAACATAGTAGAACACCATCAAACCTACGGGATTAAAAAGCAACTTATAATTAAATTTGTTGGTGACTACAATGAATCGTTTAATTGACTTTTTGAGGGCTAAAAACATATTTTTTTCACGAATATTGTGCTAGAATATTAGTATTATAAGTCCACCGTACCCTCAGCATCCTCCCCTCCATTGATTATTGTTTGGGGGCATTGTCTTTTCGTAATAACCTCGAAGGAGGTTTTACTGTTTACTAGTAAGACCTCATCGATATCCCGGGTATGAGGTTTTACTGTTTACTGGCAAGACCTGATGAGTTTGGGCATGTTTCAAGCGTCCGATGTTCTCAAAATCGAAGACAACAAATAAAACTGTTTTCAATATGGATGACGGGAATTAAACTTCAAACTCCTGATCAGTAGTCAGGCACTCTAACCACGAGACCAGAGAACCTGTGGAATATATGGTGTTCATTAGAAGATACCATGTTCAGCGAATATTTTCAAGCACGATATGTTTTACGAGTGTTTTTTTAGACTGTCGCAACGCACCTTTATACATAATTTAACGAAACATTAATAAATGTCTCGATGGTTCATAAGTCGGATAAAACACTCCTCCTCGGTTTTGGTTGACATAATAAAACCTTTGGCCACTGCAGTGTCATCCCTGACCAGTCGTGTGTCATCCCTGACCAGTCGTATGTCATCCCTGACCAGTCGTGTGTCGTCCCTGATCAGTCGTGTGTCGTCCCTGATCAGTCGTGTGTCGTCCCTGATCAGTCGTGTGTCATCCCTGACCAGTCGGGTGTCGTCCCTGACCAGTCGTGTGTCATCCCTGACCAGTCGTGTGTCATCCCTGATCAGTCGTGTGTCATCCCTGACCAGTCGTGTGTCGTCCCTGACCAGTCGTGTGTCGTCACTGACCAGTCGTGTGTCATCCCTGACAAGTCGTGTGTCATCCCTGACCAGTCGTGCGTCATCCCTGACCAGTCGTGTGTCATCCCTGACCAGTCGTATGTCATCCCTGATCAGTCGTGTGTCATCCCTGACCAGTCGTGTGTCATCCCTTACCAGTCGTGTGTCATCCCTGACAAGTCGTGTAACATCCCTGACCAGTCGTGCGTCATCCCTGATCAGTCGTATGTCATCCCTGATCAGTCGTGTGTCATCCCTGACCAGTCGTGTGTCGTCCCTGACCAGTCGTATGTCTTCCCTGACCAGTCGTGTGTCGTCCCTGACCAGTCGTGTAACATCCCTGACCAGTCGTATGTCATCCCTGACCAGTCGTGTAACATCCCTGACCAGTCGTGTGTCGTCCCTGATCAGTCGTGTGTCGTCCCTGACCAGTCGTATGTCATCCCTGACCAGTCGTGTGTCGTCCCTGACCAGTCGTATGTCATCCCTGACCAGTCGTGTGACATCCCTGATCAGTCGTTTGTCATCCCTGACCAGTCGTGTGTCATCCCTGACCAGTCGTATGTCATTCCTGACCAGTCGTGTGTCGTCCCTGATCAATCGTGTGTCGTCCCTGACCAGTCGTATGTCATCCCTGACCAGTCGTGTGTCGTCCCTGACCAGTCGTATGTCATCCCTGACCAGTCGTGTGACATCCCTGACAAGTCGTGTAACATCCCTGACCAGTCGTGCGTCATCCCTGACCAGTCGTATGTCATCCCTGATCAGTCGTGTGTCATCCCTGACCAGTCGTGTGTCGTCCCTGATCAGTCGTATGTCATTCCTGACCAGTCGTGTGTCGTCCCTGACCAGTCGTGTAACATCCCTGACCAGTCGTATGTCATCCCTGACCAGTCGTGTAACATCCCTGACCAGTCGTGTGTCATCCCTGATCAGTCGTGTGTCGTCCCTGACCAGTCGTATGTCATCCCTGACCAGTCGTGTGTCGTCCCTGACCAGTCGTATGTCATCCCTGACCAGTCGTGTGACATCCCTGATCAGTCGTATGTCATCCCTGACCAGTCGTGAGGTCGTCCCTGATCAGTCGTGTGTCGTCCCTGACCAGTCGTGTGGACTCCCTGACCAGTCGTGTGTCATCCCTGATCAGTCGTGTGTCGTCCCTGACCAGTCGTGTGTCGTCCCTGACCAGTCGTGTGTCGTCACTGACCAGTCGTGTGTCATCCCTGACAAGTCGTGTAACATCCCTGACCAGTCGTGTGTCATCCCTGATCAGTCGTGTGTCGTCCCTGACCAGTCGTATGTCGTCCCTGACCAGTCGTGTGTCGTCCCTGACCAGTCGTGTGTCGTCCCTGACCAGTCGTTTAACATCCCTGATCAGTCGTATGTCATTCCTGACCAGTCGTGTAACATCCCAGACCAGTCGTGTGTCGTCCCTGATCAGTCGTGTGTCGTCCCTGACCAATCGTATGTCATCCCTGACCAGTCGTGTGTCGTCCCTGACCAGTCGTATGTCATCCCTGACCAGTCGTGTGTCGTCCCTGACCAGTCGTATGTCATCCCTGACAAGACGTGTGTCATCCCTGACCAGACGTGTAACATCACTGACCAGTCGTGAAACATCCCTGACCAGTCGTGTGTCGTCCCTGACCAGACGTGTGTCATCCCTGACCAGTCGTGTAACATCCCTGACCAGTCGTATGTCATCCCTGACCAGTCGTATGTCTTCCCTGACCAGACGTGTAACTTCCCTGACCAGACGTGTAACATCCCTGACCAGTCGTATGTCATCCCTGACCAGTCGAATGTCATCACTCACTCACTCACTCACTCATCCCTGACCAGTCGTGTAACATCCCTGACCAGTCGAATGTCATCCCTGACCAGTCGTATGTCATCCCTGACCAGTCGTGTAACATCCCTGACGCAGCCGTAACCGATTATGTACATGCTGTCATGACCAGTCGGTGATGTCATCATTAAAATCTCTCTTGAAATAAACTACAGGGCAAAAGAAAGAACATGTAAACACTTGAGAATTGTTGAGATACACAATGATGCATGTTCGTTTCATTTTTAGCCGCCATCATACCTGAGTGCATGCTTTGTTTTGCCCGACAGTTTATATTTGAGCCTTTTTAACTAAATATTTGACTGAATATGTGTGACCACGCTATTTCTTTATTTTTGTTTTTTTATTTTTGTGGTTAATATTATTAGTACTACGGAAGGAATATCAGCAGCAGTATCATCTCAATCACCATCACCCTCATCCTCATCCTCATCCTCATCCTGACAATATAAGGGGCGGTGGGGTAGCTTGTTGGTTAAAGCGTTCGCTCGTCACGCCGAAAACCCGGGTTCGATGTCCCTAATAGGTACAATGTGTTAAGTCTATTTCTGGTGTCCGCCAACGTGATATTGCAGGAATATTCCTAATAGCGGCGTAACACCATACTCACCCACTCACTCATGACAATCTGAACATTATTGTTAGTACTATTACTATTATTATAACTACTACGAGATCTTTGCTTGGGAATGCTCTGGTCCGCATCTGTTCCTTCCAATTTGTGGTATACGCTACTGTGGGTGAGAGATGGTACTTATATTAATCACGTAGTATAATATGATAAATTATAAGGCATCAAAGCGAAATTCAATTTCAACTTTGTGAAAATACTGAAGCATAGCTATGTTCATGATAGTCTTCATGAACAAGTACATAGTTGGCGAGAATAAAGGAAAATGATAAATAACTGGTAATTTTATATTGTTTTCGGTGGCTGCGGAGAAACATTCCAAACATCGGGAGGCAGTTTCAAGAGAGCAGTATTAAGCCTATGGAGGGGCGGATAGGCAGTTTCAAGAGAGCAGTATTAATCCTAGGAAGAGAACGGGTCAACAGTTTCAAGAGAGCAGTATTAATCTTAGGGAGGGGCGGGTAGGCAGTTTCAAGAGAACAGTATTAATCCTAGGAAGATCCGGGTAGGCAGTTTCAAGAGAGCAGTATTAATCCTAGGAAGAGAACGCGTAGGCAGTTTCAAGAGAGCAGTATTAATCCTAGGGAGAGGCGGATAGGCAGTTTCAAGAGAGCAGTATTAATCCTAGGGAGGGGTGGGTAGGCAGTTTCAAGAGAACAGTATTAATCCTAGGGAGAGAACGGTATAGGCAGTTTCAAGAGAGCAGTATTAATACTGGGGAGGTGCGGATCGACAGTTTCCCGAGAGCAGTATCAATCCTGGGGAGAGAACGGGTAGGCAGTTTCAAGAGAGCAGTATTAAGCCTAGGGAGGGGCGGGTGTGCAGTTTCAAGAGAGCAGTATTTATCCTAGGAAGAGAACGGTTAGGCAGTTTCAAGAGAGCAGTATTAATCTTAGGGTGGGGCGGGTAGGCAGTTTCAAGAGAGCAGTATTAATCCTAGGGAGGGGCGTGTAGGCAGTTTCAAGAGAGCAGTATTAATCTTAGGGAGGGGCGGGTAGGCAGTTTCAAGAGAGGAATATTAATCCTAGGGAGGGGCGGGTAGGCAGCATCAAGAGAGCAGTATTAATACTAGGGAGGGGCGGGTAGGCAGTTTCAAGAGAACAGTATTAATCCCAGGGAGAGAACGCGTAGGCAGTTTCAAGAGAGCAGTATTAATCCTAGGAAGGGGCGGGTAGGCAGTTTCAAGAGAACAGTATCAATCCTGGGGAGTGAACGGGTAGGCAGCTTCAAGAGAGCAGTATTAAGGCTAGGGAGGGGCGGGTAGGCAGTTTCAAGAGAGCAGTATTTATCTTAGGAAGAGAACGGTTAGGCAGTTTCAAGAGAGCAGTATTAATCCTAGGGAGGGGCGGGTAGGCAGTTTCAAGAGAGCAGTATCAATCCTGGGGAGAGAACGGGTAGGCAGCTTCAAGAGAGCAGTATTAAGGCTAGGGAGGGGCGGGTAGGCAGTTTCAAGAGAGCAGTATTTATCTTAGGAAGAGAACGGTTAGGCAGTTTCAAGAGAGCAGTATTAATCTTAGGGTGGGGCGGGTAGGCAGTTTCAAGAGAGCAGTATTAATCCTAGGGAGGGGCGTGTAGGCAGTTTCAAGAGAGCAGTATTAATCTTAGGGAGGGGCGGGTAGGCAGTTTCAAGAGAGTAATATTAATCCTAGGGAGGGGAGGGTAGGCAGCATCAAGAGAGCAGTATTAATACTAGGATGGGGCGGGTAGGCAGTTTCAAGAGAGCAGTATTAATCCTGGGGAGAGGCGGGTAGGCAGTTTCAAGAGAGGAATATTAATCCTAGGGAGGGGCGGGTAGGCAGTTTCAAGAGAGTAATATTAATCCTAGGGAGGGGCGTGTAGGCAGTTTCAAGTGAGCAGTATTAATCCTAGGATGGGGCGGGTAGGCAGTTTCAAGAGAGCAGTATTAATCCTAGGAAGAGAACGGGTCGACAGTTTCATAGAGCAGTATTAATCTTAGGGAGGGGCGGGTAGGCAGTTTCAAGAGAACAGTATTAATCCTAGGGAGAGAACGGGTAGGCAGTTTCAAGAGAGCAGTATTAATACTGGGGAGGGACGGGTAGGCAGTATTATTCCAAGAGAACAGTATTTATCCTAGAGAGAGAACGGGTAGGCAGTTTCAAGAGAGCAGTATTAATACTTGGGAGGGACGGGTAGGCAGTTCCAAGAGAACACTATTAATCCTAGGGAAAGAACGGGTAGGCAGTTTCAAGAGAGCAGTATTAATACTGGGGAGGGACGGGTAGGCAGTTGCAAGAGAACATTATTAATCCTAGGGAGAGAACGGGTAGGAAGTTTCAAGAGAGCAGTATCAATTCAGGTAGGTGCGGGTCGACAGTTTCCCGAGAGCAGTATCAATCCTGGGGAGAGAACGGTTAGGCAGTTTTAAGAGAGCAGTATTAAGCCTAGGGAGGTGCGGGTCGACAGTTTCAAGAGAGCAGTATATATCAATCCTAGGGGGAGAACGGGTATGCAGTTTCAAGAGAGCAGTATTAAACCCAAGGAGGGGCGGGTAGGCATTTTCAAGAGAGCAATATTAAGCCTAGGGGGGGGGGGGGGGGGGGGGGTAGGCAGTTTCAAGAGATGTCACAGTTTACTAGGGTGTCACAGTTTACTAGGTGCAGTTTCCAGAGGGTAATCATCCCAGGGAGAGGTACAGTTTACCAGGTGCAATTTCAATAGGGCAATAATCCAAAGCCTGGGCCGTTTCAAGAGTCAATAATCACATAATCACAGGGAGCGGGAAGAGGTAGTTTCAGTGGGACTACAGTTGCCCTAGTATCAAACGTACAGACCAGGAGCACAAAAGTAACATGAAGAAACTGCCATGCATAACGCACATGTGTATGTCGGCCTCACTGACCATATGGTCTCTGGTCTGCCTGTACGACTCAAATATTATAATTTATTTGTTGCAAAATATTACATATATAACCCTACATAAAATAGTGACCAGTATATTATAGTCCAGGCCAATGTTATACACACATACTGGACATGTATATTTATACAGTAACAATTATGTCGAGCTGTTACAGATATCTTTTATAAAGAGATCTCCTCCTCCGGTCGCGTCAGTATCTGTCCCCTTCCCAGACCTGGCCTCAGTGCTTCGTTTATCGAGTGGTAAGCCTTTTACAAGGGACGCGACTCTTCCCATGGATTACTTGCGCGAAGTGCTACTGTCATGGCGGATCTGTTTACGCGTTTACTGTCGAAGACAGGCCTGTTGTAATCTTAACCTACAGATCGCTTACTATAACTGACAGGAAGTCTCTTAGGTGGGTTATGGTCGGTTTTATTGTGGTAGAGTCAACAGTGCGAATGCAGAATCTGTTCGCCCCCCAGTAGTATAAATAAAATCGATATGGCTCAAGGTATAGCTTTTAGTATCGCACAATCGGAAATAATACATTTGCCTATTGTGATATTAACGGGTGCCACTTCGATCCTTAGGGTTAGTTGTGTCAGATTTGTTTGTTGCTGTTTAACGAAGCACAATATTTCAGCTAAATGACGGCGGTATTTAAATAATAGAGTCTGGATAAGACGAACTGGTGATTGACAACATGAACATCGATTTACGCAATTGGAGTGAGTGAGTGAGTTGGGTTTAATGTCGCTTTTAACAGTATTCCAGTTATATCACGGCGTATCAGCTTTATGTGGGAGGAAAGCCTGAAGTGATGCAGGTCTCAGACGTTTACCACTTCGGTGAAACCCACGAGTACAGGTATGGTGCTGACAAACCTAGAAACATGATCGGGGCGAACCGGGATGTGAACCCACAATCATAGGTTTCTGGCGTGCCCAAGGGACGCAACTCTGCACAGCGAATCGCGATGACGTAGCGACCGAATCAGCAATTTCTAGCTCCCTTCATCAGTCGCCAGAATCAGTGAATCTCCATTGTCCTCACTTACAGCCTAAAGCCTCATCTCCGTTCATGGACAATGTAGTCGAATGTCTTAGGAGGTGTATCCTTGACCACGCTCACGCCCACTCTAAACCTGTTCGTCGACGCATCCCTTCAGGGTTGGGAAGCTCCTTTGAAGGGGCAGATTGTCTCAGGGCTGAGGTCAGACTAGAAGCTCCCATGCTGGCCATATCGCATTGGCAGAATGCATCGTCTCCTGCA